AGCCAGTGCTTTTAGGCTTTTCTAGCAGCAATTTCTGCTCCATGACCCCAGGCTCACAAAGCAACCTATTATCCTGAATCCCCTCTTTTTTTTTTTTTTTTTTTTGAGTCTTGCTGTGTTGCCCAGGTTGCAGTGCGGTAGAGTGATCTCAACTCACTGCAACCTCTGCCTCCCGTGTTCAAGTGATTCTCCTGGCTCAGCCTCTCGAGTAGCTGGGATTACAGGCATGCACCACCATACCCGGCTAATTTTTTGTATTTTTAGTAGAGATGGGGTTTCGAGGGGAGTTGAAGGAGACATTTCACAGCAGTCCCACTCAAGTAATCTCAACTTAAAGAGATACAATTAAAACTAAATAGCATGAAAAGGTAAACAGAAAACACTTGGCCACAATGTATTAGGTAAAATCAAGAAAAATGTAACAATAGCCATATTATTGGAACAAAGTAGAATTGAAAGTAGCTTTTTTAACATGAGTAAAAAAGGATCATTAAGATAATATGAGGTAAAGTTCAAGATATATCAAAATACACAAAGCAAAATTCTTGGTATTTAGCAATGACATAGAATTATTCAGTTTTATACATATTTTCTGTCCTTTAAACAATTATATGGAATATATATTAAAAATTATAATAATGAAATTCAGAATTTTATATATATCAAATTTTGTAAGCATTTAAACAGAGAGTTAACCAGTGCACATAGTCCTTAAAAAATGATATATGTTATAATAAGGTCTACATATATAAATAATATAGTTTATGTATAGTTTATAAAATATATAATATATAAAATAAATAATATAAATAAAATATATAGTATTTTATATATATTATATTTTATGTATGATGTTTTATTTATTATATAACATATATATTAATCTACAAAAAAACTAAATTCCAGAGTGTCAAAAATGTGCTACCTATAGTCTTTCTCTAGTAAAACTAGATATTTACAGATGATGTTGAAGACCCAAGTTGGTTGACACTTTGAAACGTTTCTTAAATATTGGAACAAAAATATCAATCTACAATTATAAACTATTCAGGAACTAATGATGATGAGTGACCCCTGTTCCAACATTTTCAGGAGATGGTCAAGGCAATTTTGTTTTTAATTATGATTTAAAATCATTTAAAATGCATTATTTGTCTTTTATTTCAGAAACTTAAATTCAAGAATTTGGAAAATAATCCATAGAAATCTAAGGAAATCAGAAAGAAAATATTAATGATTTGGAGTTTTTGGAATACAATGCTAAATAAGTCAGAATACCTACCTTTTCATTTATTTATGAAAAAAAATATTGGCTGCTTAATTTGTGCTCAGCATTTTTCTATACATAAAATAGGCAAGAGTCACAGGTCTTGTGCTCAAGAAATTTAAATTCAGCAAGGATTTATTATTTATTTACTTCCTTTATGTAACTGGATGATTAAAATATAAGAGATAAGCTCCCTGATAGTAATAAGTGCAGACAACAGAGAGAAGGTAGCTGGACCCCCTACCAGCCATAATGCAGCAGTGATGGTTTCCTGAGAGACAAGTTACATAAACTAAGTCCTGAGGGTAAATAGCATTATCCATCAGGAAGGAGAGTGTTCTCAGCACAAGGAGAAGAATGTGAAAGGAGAGAAAACAGAGTATGTTTGGAAAACTAAAGATATTTCGACATTGTTAGATATTAAATAATGAAATGTAGTATGAGAGAGGTGAGCTTTGACCTATCATAAAAGCTTTATAGAAAATATTAGGCTGGGCACGGTGGCTTACACCTTTAATCCCAGCACTATGGGAGGTCAAGGCTGGCAAATCACGAGGTCAAGAGATCAAGACCATCCCGGCCAACATGGTGAAACCCCCCCATCTCTACTGAAAATACAAAAATTAGCTGGGCATGGTGGCACGCGACTGTAGTCCCAGCTACTTGGGAGGCTGAGGCAGGAGAATCGCTTGAAGCTGGGAGGCGGCTGTTGCAGTGAGCCGAGGTCACACCACTGCACTCCAGCCTGGCGACAGAGCAACGCTCCGTCTCAAAAAAAAAAAAAAAAAAAAAAATTTAAGGAATGTCAACGTCATCCTGAAGAGGTAGAAAGAATTGTGTGTAGGGGTGTGACTTGAGAAGACGCATATTTGAAAAATGTTATGAGATGGGAAGAAGGATACATATCCTCTCCTTTTCAGGGTGAGACCCACACTCTCTACAGCAGAAGTTCAGAAGAAGAAAGGAACGCCCCAAACCCAAAACACATGTAAAGGGAGCCAGAAACTGAGTACCAAAAAATACTGACTACTAAAACACAGAAGTGCCAAAGGTGAAGGATAAAAGTAAAAGCTGCCAGAGATAAAGGGACAAGAAGAACATAAATCTTGAGAGAAGAGTGGAAGTGCAATACTATAAAATTAACAGAGACTTTATAAATGACTAGAAGTGAGGAAAATTGCCACCGCATCCATTGATAATGACAGGAGAATAATTTCAGCAGAGAGCTGCACCACAATTTCATTAGGTTTCCTTTAAGTATCCTGGTATGCTACTTTCTAGAAACTGGCCATCAGTCTTATTCTGTAACTTTAATTCTCCAACCAATTTAAAATAAAGATTATATTCTCATCCCCAAGATGCCTAATGGGCTGAATCCTAATACTTAAAATTCAGGTTTGTCTATGAGAGAGTGGGGAATTGCTTGGAACTGGTAATAGTGGCTACTCTAAGCAAGGACTTTAAACAAAACAGAAACTTTATGAGAAATTTCTGACTAATATCTTTCAAATAGATTATTAATTTAATAATACTGGAAGGTTTTAATAAAATCATGCTAATGTCACTGTAACATCATTGTCAGCAACAATGTTATAGCATCAACTTATAACCAAAGCAATATATATTAGAAGTGACTGGCTAAACCCAGAAATGTGAATTATGGGAATATATGAAATTGCAAGAATAAGTTATTAGAGGTATGATTAATGAAGCATCACTTTTTCTCCACCATGTGGCAAGTCTTACCCCAGAGTTACTGAGCCCTTCTGAGTTCATCAGTTTGGTTACCAATTATTTCCCAATATCCATTAATGGCAGACACTAATTTTATTTTTCTCCATGGTATTCTTAAAGTACCCTTAAGGATAAAGTAGAATGGAAGTGAATCATTTGTTCTGGCTGTAATGACTGGCCAACTCAAAACATTGAATGCCAGCTCTGAGCAATATGATGAATGCCACCTTAAATACATAAAACGAAAAACTTCGTTATGTTGACATAATAGATAAGTCAAAATTTGCAGAATTTTAGTAAACTTGGAATACTAGGATGACATATGCATACGATTAGCTGTTCATTCAATTATTAATTTATTCACTCAATCACCTGTATACCAAATATGTGTTAAGTATCTGTTACGTGCCAGGAACCTGTTCCAGGTGCAGAGAATACAGTGAATAAACAGATTAAACCCTGCTCCCAATGAACATCTTCATGTTACTTGATATGAGTTCATTCCTTGAAGAAAAATTCATTATGAATTTGCCTGTTTTTTAAAGAGAGGGCATGTGTACTTTCAAAGATTTAGATAGAGATTAGTTTGTGACATATAGTTTCTCTCTTTCCCAAATATATTTAAAATATTTATTGTCTTTGACAAAAAAATGAAATCATGGCTCTCGGTTGAAGGCCAAGGAAAGGATCCATCATATATTTACATTTCTATTCTTGAAAAAGAATTCTAATCACAACAGAAGATGTTTTTTTTAAAAAGTATTTTAAAGAAATTATAATTTCAAATTTGAAATCTGTCAGCCAAACACTTAATTCACCGGTCATCGGCATATTTCAAGACTCAGTAATCTCCAGATGTGTTTGAATTACACCAATAAAGTAAGATTAAGTACATGTCAACCCATGTTTTACAACTTGCATAGCTTCTTATGCCTTTGTTCTGCTTACATATTGTGAGGCAGTGTTTATCTTTTTGCATATTTCTGAGTGATAGCATATAAAGTCATACAGTATTTAGAGTTTTTACAACTTTTTTACCTACTCATGAAACATTATCACTCATCAATGCAAAAGGCATGCATAAGATAAGGACACCTCGGTGGTTTTCTTTAAATTCAGGAAGAACTTCATTAAAATTCCCACAATTTTATGACTGTTGCAGTCTAGGCCACATATTTTATTTTTATTTTGTGACTTGCTACAAATAAATTCTTGCTTAGTCCCAGACTTCTCTCCTAGCTTGATAAAATGTAAGAGCCCCTTTTAAATTAGTATATGTTTTGACATCTTCAGTGGGTTTTATATGTACTCAAGTGGTTCTTTTCCTACACGGTTTTCTCATATTATTGAATAAGCTAAGGAAAAACCGACGTATTACTATGTTTGGTGAATTTTCAAATTTAGTATTAAATGTATGCTCTTTTGTAAAAATCTACTTGCAATTCATGTGTTGAAATATTTATTCGTCTCTTACTCTAATTTAATCCACCAATTGATCAGTCATTAATTCAATATTTATCTAGTCCCTACTCTGTTCGACGCACTATTCTGGTTGCCAAAAATATAAGTGAACAAAATGAATGAAAATTCCTGCCCTTGTAGCACTGTCATGCCCTCTCAATAGTAAACTTTTTTTATAAGAAATGCAACCTTCTAATCACAAAATTTAATTGTGCTCCACTTTCTTCAACCTCTCTTAAAGTTTCAATTATTTATAAGCATAATTTTTCCAAAAAATAGATTTCAAAATCACAATAATGTATAGCACATTTCATATCTCTCTTGCTTTCTAAATTTTTCCAGGGCTTGCTTTCCAATTAGAACCACCTTGTGTTATAAATGTCTCCTCTTATATCTAAAATTTTTGGTAAAACAATTGGCACAAATGATAGAATGCTCAATAGTTTTACTATTGAAAATATGAATATGAATAATTTTTTTAATTTAGTAGTATACTTTAAAATTTCATACGTTGAGGAAATGTAGGTTGATTATTTTTGTGGCAGAGGTTGATAGTAGTCCTCCAATGTGTATGTTCTCCTTTCTTCGTAATTCAACCTTGCCCTTGTTGGGTTCTTTTATCAGTAAGATGCTGGAGTTTAATCAGCCACAGCAGACTGTGAGGTGGAAGCCACTTGGTGATTGTGGCCCAGCACCAAGATAGAAGGCATTTGGATCCCTGGTGATCACAGACCCAGCATGTCATCTCTGCACAGGTGACATTAGATTCTATTTGAAGAAGAAGACATCCATATTGTTTAAGACATTGTTATTTAGAGATTTCTGTCAGTAGCAGGCAAACCTAATCCTAACTAACATAGCCTACAACGTCCTTTCACAAATTTAACAATCTATGCTACATCCTGCATAATTCTTACCATCTTGATTATTTACTGAAGATGATGAAACGTTCATCTCTGTCACATGACTATTATTGGCAATAGCATGATTCACCTTCTTGGAGATTTTCCTGAAAAATAAAAATACCAATGTTTGTTTTGACCTTATTTGCATATAATCACAGATATGTAGAGATAAACCAAATCAATCTTGAACAAAATAGCAAATGACTGGTGATAATAAAAATATCTGTGTGGAGAGAGGCACAGCTGAAAAGGTAAGAGGAAGCCACACAAATACCAGCTAAGCATGGGGAAGGCAATGCTTGAGTATTTGAGTCATTTCAAGTTGTATATGACTTTTACTTGTTTTTATCAACTACAATGTTTATTTCATTTAACCACAGTAAAACGAAAACTGTGACTTGTGTTTCACAGGGAGTATAACTGATTTAATGGAATTGTTGCAGTTTTATCACTTTTCTGAGTTAAATTTTGCCTCCCCTAACTTTTCTGGGAAATAAAAATTCACATATTCTCTGTTCTTTTTTTCCTTCCTCTGCTTAATTCTATCTTATGCAGGACATTTTATAGAAGGCTTATGTTCATTTTCTAATCAACATGGCATATATTAAAAATCAGATCCATCATGGGTCATGCAACTATCATATGACGCTGATTATTTTTCCAAATTCCAATGATTTACAACTGCCGTTTAATTGCCTGAGAGCATTTTAATCCAGGGTAGTTAACATTACTTGAACTGCTACATCATTTAATTGTAATATTATAGGTTTACAAGCAAAAGCAAGCCTTGAACTAGAGAGAGCAAGTCTATTAAAAAAAAAAAAATCCAACAGAAACCATCAAGTTTTAAAAGTTGATGTCAGAAATATCTCATTTAGTTCAAATAAACTAATGTGAAATAATATCCTTTAAAACATGTAAATAAAGAGCTAAGTACCTAAAAGTAAAAAATAATATCTAGAGGAAAGAGATAATTTATGTGTTGGATAGTGAGATTGGGCATAAAAAGTCTGGTTCCCAAAACATTTATGAAATATTTACACCATTCCTCAGGAAATGGCTAGAATATAAACAAAGTACCCTACCTAGGAGAGCTTCAAAAATCATTTTTATAGTGGCGATTAATTTAATTTCTGAAACTCCAAGGAAATTACAAATCTATTGTGAATGTTTATGGTACTTGACAAATCAAGACCAGAAATTTTATCATCATTCACAATCATCATCAATTACAAAACTATTCAAGAGAGTTACATAAGAAAAAAATACTTTTAGCTTAGATGCAACTGAGCAAAAGTATGCTTCAAATTGTTTTTAGCATGATACACAGAAGTCCAAGTTACATTTTAAAATTTTTGATTCTACTACACACGATTTTATTAGATTTTAATACATTACTAAACCAGAATAGCAAATGCCATACCCTGGTATCACACCAGCTAAAAAAATATGATCAGAAATTCACTTATTCCATAAATATGAAAGTGTGAAAATTTATGGACTTTCTTTTTTTATAATTTTTAAAAATTTTAGCAACTCTATGTTCCCCACTGCAGTACAGAGAAGCAATATGGTATTGTGAATAAGAGTGGTTAATCAAATTGTCCTGGGTTCAAATCCAGGTTCTGTGCCATCTGTGTAATCTTGAATAAATTACTCATCTCCACTTGCCTCAGTTGTAAAAATAAGAACAACATTTATCGCATAAGGTCATGTAAGGAGTAGATTGCAAAGCTCAGAGCTTCAAGTAAGAAGTGGGTATAAAAATCCAATTCTGGCCTCATTTACTCTCATTTATTTACTCTTTTTTAGGTCTTCGAGCAGCAGCCCAAGGAAGGAAAATAAGGACACACATTTTTGGCTGGATTAGTAATGTCTTTCCTTTGTCTTCATCCACCAGTGTTCTTGGTACACTGAGAGGAAACAAGAAATTTTAAAAACCTTATTTTCCATGTCAGAAGCTATTACATCATTCCATTTGCAATAACATACTTTAATCTTCTCCAGGTTTCATAAATTCTTGGGACAATTATAATAAATGTCATTTGCTTGGAAACCTAAAGAAGAATGCATAGTTAAATTTTTCAAAGTATGACCCCCATTATAGTAATACTGAAGGAGAAGCTAAGTGGTTGAATTGGAAGGATAAGCGATAATATTGCTATACTTCTGAAAGAGTACCCATTCAGGAAATGTTAGGAAATCTCAGTATTTGGATCCAAAGCCCTTGCCAAGAGACCTTGGCAGATGCAGCAAATCAGTCCTTTATTAGATGTGTCAGTCTCAGTTGCACACATATCTTGATAGTTAAGATGGAAATGTTCATCCCCTAGTCACAATGGAGATAAGTGCTGAAAAACCTCTAGAGACAGGCTACTTAACAACTAGTGAGATTCCCTGGGATACCCATGTAGAATCTCCTGCATTTCGTTTGAGGTTTCCTCCCAGTACACTCAGATAATTGACTTTTTTTGATTTTTTAAATTAATTCCACATTAGATTCTGTATTACTATGAACCACACTACCGTTTATGGAGAATTAACATCTGGTTACAAACAGTGGTCTCATTGTTTCAACCTCATGTGGGCTTACAGGATTTATAGGAAGTTCTCTGAAACCAACACTTCCTTATTCTGTTTAAGGATTATCAAAGATTTATGAATTCATTTTATAAAATTTCCATCCTTAACCACACTTTTTAAACACCTTCTAAAAATCAATTACCTCATTTTCAATTAATTAAGCCAATTAAACTATGAAAGATGTTCACGTAATGATAGCTCCACAGTTAACACATTTCAAGAAGCTGTTTTGCCTTTCACATCTCTTCCGTTACATGCAGAGTACTTATCTCTACCGGGATCCTCTCTATATCAGTCCTCATTTGTAAAGGTAGAGACCCAAACATTACATCTTAATATGTACTTTTTACATTTAAATTGTAGTCAAGAATTTTAAAAAATTATATCATAGTAAAATGTCTATTTTGCCATTGAAACAGTTCCAATATGACATTAATGTATCAGAGCATCCTTACGAACCCCACAAATATATACAATTATTATTTGTCACTTTAAAAAAGTAAAGAATAAAAGAGCACTTAACGTTTTAGTAAATCGAGGCTTGTAAGTAATGCGAATATTGTCTTCTAGCTTCTCAGAAAGTGTGGAACATTGGCCTTCCTTTTCAGATTCACGTGAGAGCTTGGTAAGTTTTATTCTTAAATGAGATAGACGAGTGTTCTGAGCTCATCTTTTCACTCCCAACTCTGGAGAGAGAATGATGCCTACTTACACTCGGATGCACTGGGTCATATACCTTCACCAGATCACTAAGCCCAGGTCAAATGCATATGATGGTGTGTCACTTTCTACCTAGAAAATAGCGATCATTCCATCAGCCTTCAGTGTGTTTCTTCTAGGGGCATAAAAGGTAAGATGGCAAGGATGCCTAATGCCGAACACTAAGTGGACAAGTGACCTCCAGCAGGTTAAAGCAGCATAAAAGAAGGCTGAGTTAGTAGTGAAAGGAGCTAGAAGCCTAAATTACCCAACAGTATGTATTTCCTAGCTATGTTCTCTCCTAGCCTCAATTTACTCTTATATAAACAGAGTAAAATCAACATGAGTGACCCACTAGAGCAGAAGGGGGTGAGAAATATAGGAGGGCAATGATTTAGACCAGGCAGAAGAATGGGCTTGAAGAAGTCTTTCCCAGAGTAGTTGATGCTTTAAGACAGGTATAGGACTCACCTGGGTGAATAAGATTTTGAAAGAAAGGTGGCTTAGACAGAAGGGATAGTGAATGTGCAGGGTTATTTGGTTCATGAGATAATCAAAACATTTATCCCACATTGTGCTTGGTCCTTAACTGTTAATATGTTCTCTCTTTAGTCCAACAAGGCAGATGTTGCCTAATCCAACAAGAAAATGTTTGCTTTTGGCTAATGTGCTGCCAGCGACATTCTTAGCACTCAACAGAAGAGCACCCTAGAACTATGGAAAGGCAGCTGCACTAGTGTATGAACTCTGCCATTGCACAGAGCCCTGCACTTAGGAGGTTTCTAAACTTGTTAATGCTTTGCTGCTGTTGTCTTAAAATTCTTAATAATTTTGAACAAAGCAACTCACATTTTCATTTTTCACTGGTCCCCACAAATTACATAGCCAGTCCTATTTATGCTATCAGATAATCCCAATTTGTGTAAATCAGATGGATTCACATTCTGGTTTTCTTACTTTTTAGCTTCATGAACTTCTAGGAGCTTTAATGATAGAAATATCAATTTTTTTTTTTTTACTCATTTGTGAGGATCAAATATATTTTGATTATAAAACTAATTTTTATTTTATAAAGTATTGCAGAAACAGAACAGTAATCAGTCAGCTAATGAGATTCTTGTTTATTTTTAAAAAATTCACTTATTTGGAATGATTTCAAATATCTGGAAATTAGTACGTGCCTACTGCCATTTCCTCTCTCTTCTTCTCCTCTTTTTCTCTGTTCCTATTCTGTCCTTTGCAATTGAGTTTATAGTATATGCTAAATACTGCACTGAGTGCCAAAAACATAGATCGAAGCAGACACAGTCTCTTCCCTTGAGGAGCTTATACTTGCATAGAGGAAATAGAAGCAGAAATTGACAAGCTTGGTGAAGTGTAACAGGCATTTCATAGAAAAAGCACAGGGTGCAATAAGAATACACAAGAGAGCAGTAGCTAAGATTTGGGGGGGTGATGTGAGTGGAAGTGGCTCTGGGAAGTCTTTCCCAAGAGAGTTGATCATTCAAGAAAGAGATAGGATTTAGATGAAGGAAGGAGGCATTGGAATGAAGGTGTTTTAGGCAAAAGAGAAATTGTGTGTGCAGTCATAAAAGCTTGAAACACATGTTTCTTATGAGAAAGCACAAGTAGTTCTATTTATCTGTGTCAGAGATGCATGTGGAAGAATGAAGAGTTAGGAGGCTGGAAAGGGAAATACGCAAAAGCCAGATCCACGGGTATTATAAGGGGTAAACCAGAGTTATAAATTCACCCTGAATGCTCCTTGAAAATTATAAAAAGGTAATGAAAGTAGAGAGATGATATGGCTAGAAAACAGTGTAGAGATGAATGATAACGCAACTTAGATAAGAAATATTTGTGGAAAAACAGCTGACTCTAGTGATACTATAGAATGGAAATTCAGAGCAAGCTTCAGGCCCTCAAGAAATATTTTATGGAGCAACTATGATGGAGCAAGTACTTTGTTATGTTCAGAGAACACAGAGATAACTAAGATAGATCCCCTCTTCCCCAGAAGGGTGGAATGCAGTGTAGTGAGTGCAGTGACATGCTCTACCCATGATATTGAACAGAAAAGGGGCCTCCAAACTTCCTAAGGGACATACAGAGTCTTTTGCAAAAGAGCTGACACTAAATCTCAGAGGAATGTCCTGAATTGAGACTTAAAAGATTAAAGGAAATAATCAGACACAGGACGAGATAATTAAAAAGAAGGAAATATTCTAGGCAAAGAAAGTAACATAAGCAAAGAAAAAGAAATGAGAACTTACATAGACGTGCAGCGTCCAGGGGAGAGGTGGATAAGAGACTGAACCGGAACAGTAATTGTAGATGAGGAATAAAAAGGAAAGCAGATTTATGGAATGTTTAGGAAGCATTAACATGACTTTGTCATTGTTTGGATGTGAGAAGTGATGGAGGTGGAAGAATGAGAGGAGACTTCTTTTCCACCTTGCCTCTTTTACCCCTTAAGTGCCAACAACCACAGACAATTTCCCAAGCTATTAATTTTAGCTAAGTGTTTTTCCTCCTCAGGCTATGTTTTAGGAGGAGAATCTGTGGTATAAATCTACAATCATTGTAAATTAATATAACTACAGTCACACTACTGTTTAACTTGATTCCAAAACAGATATACTTGGAATCCCAGCACAAACTTGGTTTTTCAAATATAGCTCCAGACGTAGTCATGGTCAACATGTCCCCTTGTCAAACAACAACTACTTACCATCAACTTAATACATCATATACAAGGCATAAAGATATCTCCTTCCTCAAATCAAATTCAAGTGGTTCCACTGTAGAATCACAGAATTTAGGGTTGGAAGGCATCTTAATATTTATAGAATCCAAATATTTGGGACACTCTCTGCAATCTGAATTTTGTATTCACAATTTTCTTGAGGTCAACAGGCTAGAGAACAAGACAACTTACCACTTGCTTTGATAAGTTTTTCTTTAAGTCCTAGTTCTGAGAAATAAAATGATTTGAGAACCTGAGGACAATAAAATATGACTACTGATTTCATAGTCCCATGTACTTTCAAATTCACTTTCCTATTTTGTCAAATCAAGGTTGAATTTTTCCCTCCTCATTTAAATGTTTCTCATGCTTTTTGCTGTAAGAATTATATTAAAATGAAATTAGTCACTGCTTGTTTTTATTTTGCCTGGCTTCTTCGACAGGAGAAAAGAACACAGACTAAAAGGAATATAAATCCAAAAGGATGAGTGAAATGGGAATACACAAGGCATGAGCAATAAGACTGTTCTGTCAGAAACAATGAGAATAACTGCTCTACAGCTTACAAACCAGAAACTTACACGTTGTATCTCATTAAATTTTATTTTGAATATTGAGAACATTCAGTGCATGCATAATATTTAAAAGTCATAACTCCAGAAGTAGAACCAGTTGATGAATAAAAAAAAATTCTAGTCAAAACATAATTTATCTATTATGTACAGGACAGGCCAAAACCTCGTTTTGCCTCCTGGAAAATTATTTACAAGAAAATGATTGCTTAGAATGTTCCTTCTTTAGGAGCTCCCCAAAATCTCTAAATATAGGTGGTTACATTAACTAATTCAACCTAGAAAACAAGCACATCCCCCACTTACGTATATACATGTCTTACCAGATTTATAATCTATACTATTTGGAGCAAGGAAAAAGGATTTACATATTGAAACAAAAGGAAAATTATAAATTTTTTTATTATTCGATAAGGCAGTCATAAATTTCTGACATAAACACATGATTATAAATGGAAGGTGTCTTTCTAATGTATCATACTAGATATGCTATAAGTTCTGAAACATGAGATCAATCCATGACTAATGGCCTGATAAAAGTCATGACTGAATAAATGGGATGACAGCCAAGGAACAGATTCCTGTGAATAAATAATAATCAAATGCCACACATGTAGCTTAATTAACACTGCCCTTTACTTATTTTTCAAAATCTTGCATTCATTCAATGAATATGTGAAGATCTACTATATGCTAGACTTAACTCAATTTGTAGCAAGTTAATGATCATAAATAGGTGATGAAGTCTAATCTCTTCCCTAAAAGATTTTTGTCTTATTCACTGCTGATCTTGTGTGCTTTTTTGTTGTTGCTGAAATTGATAAATGTTCACCACATTCAGTAATACTTTCCAGACTTCCAGACAAATGAATTCATAACATACACATTCGCTTCCCATTAAATACACAAGTTTTACAGTTTTTGTTTCCAGAGAATCCAGACTAAGTTTATTTTTAAGAAGAATTAATGAAATAAGAAAATGATTGCATAGTCTAGACTCAAAGCCACTGTTGGTCTAGATAGTAACTTCAGTGATGTACTTCTTTTTTCCTCAGGGACCTGTTCCAATTAAAATGAATCTACTCTCCTGTAAAGCTCTCTTTATCTGGCTACCACGTACTTAATGAGAACTTCAATACCTGCTCCTGACTGGTTCAGATAGGCTTTCAGGACAAATTCCTTTATTTTTGCTATTTTATTTTATTTTACTTTATTTTATTTTATTTTACTTTATTTTATTTTATTTATTTATTTTTGAGATGGAATCTCGCTCTGTCACCCAGGCTGGAGTGCAGTGACATGATTTCCGCTCATTGCAACCTCTGCCTCCCAGGTTCAAGAGATTCTCCTGCCTCAGCCTCACCAGTAGCTGGGATTATAGGCATGCACCACCACACCCAGATAATTTTTTGTATTTTTAGTAGAGATGGGGTTTCGTCATGTTGGCCAGGCTAGTCTAGAACTCCTGACCTCAGGTGATCCGCCTGCCTCAGCCTCCCAAAGTGCTGGGATTACAGGGTTGAGCCACTGTGCCCGGCCAATTTTTGCTATATTAAATATTGACTTTGCAATGACTTTTCCTAATATTTTTAAAGAGATGGTCTTATTTCCTTTTATCTTTTCTACTATAGTTTCCTAGAAAAGGGGAAAGTTTTTTAGGAATGGAATTTTGTGGTTTATTTTCATTGTTCTCAGCATATATCTGTTTTTTGTTCATCTACTTTATTTTCAGTTGAGGTCAATGATCATATTTATGGTTGTATTTTGCATTATAACAAAAAAATTTTCAAGCCATAATTCATCAATTGAGTACTCCTCTGCAGATTATGTAGATTTATATAGACATGTTTATATTATGCCAATCTACTAATATTAATGTAGACAGTAGTGATTTTATAATGTTCCAAATAGCTAATTAATTAAGGTTTTCTAAGATTGACACTCTGGAATTGAATTTCTCTAAATATTAGTCTACAGAGAATGCTTATGAAATTAGACTGTGGACATACACTAAGTAATGTTAAAGGCTCAATAAAAGAATCTTATTAACCTCAATTCTTCTCTAATTATTCAATATTTCATTAGGTAACTTGATAACTGTGTCTATTCCTTAAAATGTTGAAATGATGTCTCTCTCAATTTGACTCAATGTCTTCAACAACTTTCCCAAGGTCACACAGCCAACAACAACCTAGAAATGGATTAAGATTCTGTATAACTCAAAAGCTTGCACATTCCACACGAGGCAGAAATCCATCAACACATTGTCCCCGCCTCCCCCATATCCTGCTTTTCCTATATCTCTACATAACTGACAAGCAACCTAATCTACTAAGTCACTCAAGTCAGAAAACCAAAAGCCATCTCTAATGGAATGGATGTTTGTGACTCTCAAAACTCATATGTTGGAATTTAATCCTTCATACAGTGCTGTTTGGAAGGTAATGAGGTCATGAGGGTGGACCTTCATGGGTGGGATAGGTGTCCATATATAAGGGACTCCAGAAAGCTCTCTCTCTCTTTCCACCACGTGAGGATACAATGAGAATAGGGCAGTCTGCAACCCTCCCCAGAAGCCAACCACGCTGGCACTCTGACCTTAGACTTCAATCTCCAGAACTGTAACAAATGAATTCTGTTGTTTATAAGCTACCTAGTGCGTGAGACACTGTTAAAGCAGCCTGAACTGACTAAGACACCATCTGAGACTGCTCTCTCTCTCTCTCAGAGGACATTTACAAGTAGGCCCTCAGAAGAGCTGAGTTTCCTTTTTTGACATTCCTGGTGCCTGACCCTTTATTTCCATTTCTTCTTCCACCATGTTAGATAAAGTCTTTATGCTTTTCCCCAACTGAAGTTCTCTTCTTCCTCTCCATCATTAATCTTCTACACATTCCTATAATATCTGGAAATTAAATAACAGGTGTACAAAAACTATTTTTTTTCTTAGACAGAATCTCGCTCTGTCGACCAGGCTGGAGTGCAGTGGTGTGATCTCGGCTCATTGCAAGCTCCGCCTCCCGGGTTCACGCCATTCTCCTGCCTCAGCCTCACGAGTAGCTGGGACTACAGGTGCCCGCCACCTATTTTTAGTAGAGACGGGGTTTTACCATGTTAGCCAGGATGGTCTTGATCTCCTGACCTCATGATCCGCCCGTCTCAGCCTCCCAAAGTGCCAGGATTACAGGCGTGAGCCACTGCGCCCAGCCACAAAAACTATTTTTTTTAATGGATGAATGTTTAGAGCAATTCCGCTATTCCAGGTAGGTACTTCAGGAGCTAGAATTTCACATAACTGAAATGAGGTAACATAGGCTCAAATCAACTAATCCTTACCAATCCTCCCATCATAAATCCTCCTTAACATAGACAAACTTTCTAAAAGGAGAAACTAACTTCATGTACATACACACACACACACACACAATTCTTGAGTGACGCCTTACAAGATAAATGTCAATTTCATTTAGCATGTGATATATTGTTTTCTGTGATCCAAGCCCTTTTAGTCCTTCCTGGCATTCCACACCTGTACCTTATTCTCCAGTTATAGTTAACCACTGAGTCTTCCATGAACATGCCAAGGGTTTTCTTGTTTCTACAACTTTGTTCAGCTACTTAAATTATCCTAATATATTTTGCTTTCCCCAATTTCTTCAGGTCAAATGATGTCTCCTTGGTGATGCCTTCTGTAAGTTTCTCCTATGGAGACACTGAGACAATGTGAATGACTGGCCAACATTAACATCACTCCAAATAATTGGTTTAAATCAAGATAATCTCATTCTTCTATACAGATTCAGAATGGTGCATGACACAACTCTAGCCTACACCCACTGTTACTTTGTATGTTTCACATCTATTACAAAACTTTAATTTCTTTAGTGGCAAGAAATATATCACTTAAGTTTGTAATGGTCATATATATAACTCATCTAGTAAATAGAACCATATATGTAATCATTTATATTGTAGGTATTGTCATTTAGTAAGCAGAATTATGTTTGCATTTGTAATGGTTAATATTGAATGTCAACTTGATCGCATTACAACAGCAAAATATTGTTCCTGGGTGTCTCTGTGAGCGTGTCACCAAAGGAGATTAACCTTTGAGTCAGTAAACTGGGAGACACAGACTCACCCTCAATCTGGGTAGGCAGATCTAGTGCAGCTATGATAAAAAGCAGGCAGGGGAATGTGGAAAGACTGGACTAGTTTAGTCTCCTGGGCTACATCTTCCTCCTGTGCTGGGTGTTTCCTGCCCTGGAACATTGGAATCCGAGTTCTTTGGCTTTGGGACTCTCGGACCTTCGACCACACACTGAAGGCTGCACTGTTGGCTTCCCTACTTTTGAGGTTTTGGGACTCAGACTGGCTTCCTTGCTTCTCAGCTTGCAGACAGCCTATTGTGGGACTTCATCTTGTGATCATGAGAGTCAATACTCCTTAACAAATTTCCCTGTATAAATACCTATCCTATTAGTTCTGTCCCTCTAGAGAACCCTAATACAGACTGTCATGTAGGAGACTTCATCTTCGTTGCAACTGTCATAGAGTAGGCATTTAAATGTTGATATAGTAAATTGATATTTAAAAGTAGTGTTTATATGATAATCTATATAAAGATGTGACTTAATTCGAACGTTTTTCAGCATAATGCATTTTCTCCACTCTATTACTATAGCTTTAATACAGTATTACAGATGTAATATAGTATGTATTGTCTGTTCTCACACTGCTATAAAGAAATACCTGAAACTAGGTAATTTAAAAAGAAGAGGCTTAATTGACTCATGGTTCTGCAGGCTGTACAGGAAGCATGACACTTAGGGAGGCCTTAGGAAACTCTGTTTCTTCTTCTTTTTTTTTTTTTTTTGAGACGGAGTCTCTCTCTGTTGCCCAGGCTGGAGTGCAGTGGCGTGATCTCGGCTCACTGCAAGCTCCTCCTCCCGGGTTCACGTCATCCTCTTGGCTCAGCCTCCTGTGTAGCTGGGACTACAGGTGCCCACCACCATATCTGGCTAATTTTTTGTATTTTTAGTAGAGACGGGGTTACACCATGTTAGCCAGGATGGTCTTGATCTCCTGACCTCGTGATCCCCCTGCCTCGGCCTCCCAAAGTGCTGGGATTACAGGCGTGAGCCACCATGCCTGGCAGGAAACTTTCAATC